GTAAAGTTTGGAAAACAATTGCAAACAATTGGTTTCGACCACTGGTTTGGAAAGTATTATAATGAATACAATGAATATTGTTGGAAAGATTTCGCTAAGCATCTCAAGAAGTGCACTAATTTAAGACATCTTAAGATACAGAGTCACGAGTCTTCGTGGCATTTGTTCAATGGCACCAAAAATGAGTGTCTGTTTCCACGTTTACAGACAATCGATGTCCGCAGCGATGAGTGCGATATTAAGAGTTTTAATACGTTTGTCGATAACTATAAAAGTGGTCTCAAATTAATGACAATTAATGTCTCGGATGGCGATAAACAGACAGTTCGGGACCTAATGAATGGTTTGTCGCAAATGAAGGCATTAACACACGTAGAGATTTACGACGGAAGGATGGAAGACGTGTTGACACAATTGGCCGTTCGGTGCCCTCAACTCAAGAGACTGACCATTCATGCGTCCAATAGATCCCAAAAAGTGGTCTTCAGTTACATTGAGATAATTAATGACAACTTTAAACACTTGAAGGGACTTGAAGTGTGGGATTGCGGCCGAAGACCTGTATTAAGCGCCGGTCGACTCAACCAATGCAAACAATTAACGCATTTATTGTACGATTGCAACGCCGAGGACTCGTTTTTCACATGCATTTCAGACAATTTCCCAAAACTTGAATATCTGAACATAAAGTGTGCGAAAATAACTGATGCAGTATTGGATGGTTTGTCACAATTGCCGAAATTACAGACACTTAGACTCGACGGCAGTAAACACTATACAACGACTGCTGTCAAGAATCTCATCGATAATTGCGCTAAAATTAAACGCTTTATTATTGGCGGAGAAATTGTTTGGATTGATTCAAAAGGGAATCTATGCGTTGAATACTCGCCCCAATTGCCGGCTGACAACACAGAGCCCTACGATGGGTATGTGTCCCCCGCCCTCTCCCACGGGCAGGACTATGAGACCTATAAGTCCTACTACTCCGGCGACTACGAGTCCAACCACTCAGACGACGACTACGAGACTGACAGCGACGACGACTAGGACTACCGGAGAGCTAATACAGGAGATGTTGTCGTATGAAGTGATGGACTCAATACAAGACATGCTATTAATGTTTACAGTTATCCGTAAAACCTTATACAGTAGTGAATTATTCTTATTTCTAATATATAATGTTTGTGATCACAATAAGTAAGACTCTGTCCTAATCATAAATCTATGTCTATTCTTAATCTACGGGTATTTTTAATTTGTATTACATTGTGTTAAAAATGAAAAATTGTATTTTTATTTAGCAATTTCAGTTATATGAATTAAATTATTATAAATTATAACTGTATTTATAATTAATTTATAATTTAAATTATTATTATATACAAATTTTATTGATTAATAAAAGTTTTCATACTTTATATTACGTTATTTAAAGCGTTATTACTTTTTCATTGCATAGTATTTTACAATGATTTTGTGAGGTTAGGTAATAATGTTACGTAACAAATACAAAGTTTGTTAGAGTGTGTTAACTAACAGTATTATCGTATATAAAGTTAACACTGTATTGATTGCCCTAATTTATGCTAATTTTGTTGATTGTATGGTGACGTTCACATCTTGATAAATGATTTTCAATGATTTTATATTTGGTATATAAATGCAAACTTTATTTCCTTATATAATAATATTGTTTCACTTCTTATGAAAAAGTTTGTTAACTAAATATTTTGCGATTAGTTTTTGCAAATATTGGCGTAAATTCAGTATAAATTGTGTTGAATATTGAGTTGATTATAAATTTTGCCATTTATTGAGACAATTGGTGCTAAATATTTATACTACTCGTAAGTAATCACTATTTTATTATTATATATTTATAGTTATTTATATTTTATTAAATTATATATTTTTTAATTTTATTTTATAGCTGAAAATATTATTACACAAGTAATTAAAAATGGCTTCAATTTATACGAAAGACTCAATGGACAGATTTGGTGATGATATGTGTCAACACATATTGTCTTATCTGTCGGGCGAAGAGCGGTTCCGATATGAAAGTGTGTCCAAACAGTGGCAAAGAGTGGTATACGAGACACAAACGGAGCTAATAATTGATAAATATTTCAAAGATAAAAGAATTCGTAATGAATTGATTGAATTAATAGTGAAAAAGTGTAAAAACATCACAAGAATCGCAATCAAAGAATTGCGATACTTAACTGACGTCATGTGTGGCATAATTATAAGACATTGCAATCGTTTGAATGATTTAAGCATTTGTTTCCCGAAATGCGATGAAAACGTTGTGTGGGATAACGACGACGAGTTTGAAGATCCCTATTTAGAAGCAATATATCTGCAGAGAACGATAACTCCATCAACAAGTAAAAAGTTTTTGGTAAAGTTTGCCCAACAATTGCAAACAATTAGTGTCGACCACTGGTTTGGAAAGTATTGGAATGAATATAATGACTGGTTTTGGAGAGATTTCGCAAAGAAGCTCAATAAGTGCACTAATTTGAGATCTCTTAAGATACATAGTCGCGAGTCTTACTGGCATTTGTTCAATGGTTCCCAAAATGAGTGTCTGTTTACACGTTTACAGACAATCGATGTCCGCAGCGATGAGTGCGATATTAAGAGTTTTAACACGTTTGTCGACAACTATAAAAGTGGTCTCAAATTCATGGCAATCAGTGTCTCAGATAAACAGCCGGTTCGGGAGCTAATGAATGGTATGTCGCAAATGAAAGCATTAACACACGTCGAGATTGACGACGGCTTTATGGAAGACGTGTTGACACAATTGGCCGTTCATTGCCCTCAACTCAAGAGACTGACCATTCATGCGGTCCATAGATCTCAAAAAATGGTCTTCAGTTACATTGAGATAATTAATGAAAACTTCATACACTTGAAGAGACTTGAAATGTTGGATTGCGGCCGAAGACCTATATTAAGCGCCGGTCGACTCAATCAATGCAAACAATTAACGCATTTATCGTACGATTGTTTTGGCGACGACTCCTTTTTCACATGCATTTCAGACAATTTGCCAAAACTTGAATATCTGAAAATAAAGTGCGCGACAATTACTGATGCAGTATTGGATGGTTTGTCAAAATTGCCAAAACTACAGACACTTGCACTTCACGGCAATCAACACTACACACCCATTGCTGTCAAGAATTTCATCGATAATTGCGCTAAAATTAAACGCTTTATTATAAACAAAAAAATTGTTTCAATTCATTCAAATAAGAACCTAAGCGTTAAATATGAGCCCCAATTGTCCGCTTACAACGCTTGTGATGACTACGAGTCCAATTGTGAGTACGACTACTCCGGCGACCTATTGTCCGACTATTCGGGCGATTCCGAGTCCGACTACTCCGGCGACTACGAGTTTGACCACTACGAGCCGGACCACACCGCCGGCTTCGACTTCAACCACTCCGACGACTAGGACTACCGGAGATCTAATACAGGAGATGTTGTCGTATGAAGTGATGAACTAAATGCAAGACATTTTTATGAGACATGATATTAATGTATACCGTTATCAGTAAAACCTTATACAGTAGTGGATTAGTTTTATTTCTAATATATAATGTTTGTGATCACAATAAGTAAGACACTGTTCTAATGATAAAAATATGTGTTTTCTTAATCTACGGGTATTTTCAATTTGTATTACATTGTGGTAAAAGTGAAAAATTGTATTTTTTATTTATCAATTTTATTTATATAAATTAAATTATTATAAATTATAATTGTATTTATAATTAACTTATAATTTAAATTATTATTATATACAAATTATATTGATTACTAAAAGTTTTTATATAATATTCAAAACGTTGATTATTTTCCAATGCATTTATAGTATATTTACGACATATTCTTCATGTTATGTAATATTCTTGCAAAACAAATGCAGTATTAATGAGATTGTGTTAACTGGCGGTATAATTATTCAAACAGTTAACGCGATTTTAAAACAAGTTATTTTTGGTAATTTTCTATTAATAGTTATGTAAAGTAAACATTATTTAATTTTGATTAAAATTATTATTATTTTAAATGATATACAATTTAGTATTTAGCAAATATTAATTAATTTGTTTTAACTGTAGTTTTATATTTTAATTTTATAACAAATAATTCTTAATTTTAAGTGTTATATCAGTTAAATATCACAACTACTATATAAGTAGTATTTAATTTATTTTAAATAAAAATATTCACATTAATTTATGTTTTATACATATTTGTATACTAATGGATGTACGAGAGGTTTATCCGAAGAACTCAATGGACAGATTTGGTGATGATTTGTGTCAACACTTATTGTCATTTCTATTACTCGAAGATCGGTTCCGATATGAATGTGTGTCCAAACAGTGGCAGAGAGTGGTATACGAGACACAAACAGAGTTTATAATTGACAAGAATTTCAATCATATAATAAATGAGAACTTATTTGAAGTGATATTCAAAAAGTGTGAAAACAACACAAGAATTACATTCAAAGAATTCAGATTCCGTTTAAATGATAGGATGTTTGGCATAACTATTAGACAATGCAATCATTTGAAACATATTTACATTGACTTCAATACTGGAAGCGCTATAAGTGTGGACACAATCGACACGTTTTTCTCAAAGTTTGCCAAACAATTGAAAAGAATGCAATTGTCTCAAGGCTTTGGAAATATTACTCTTTGGTCGGCTATTGAGACAAATATCAAGAAATGTCCAAAATTGAGACATTTAGAGATGAATACACGCGTGAATTCATTGCATGTATTAAATGGTAGTGAAAATCAGTGTTTATTCACATATTTAAAGACAATCCGCTTTCAATACGACGGCGAAGACATCGAGTGTTTCAAAAGTTTTGTTAAAAACTATAAAAATAGTTTAAAATCAATTGATGTTGTAATGAATCAAAAGCGTTCAGACGAGCGGTTAATACATATACTAATCAATGGTTTGTCAAAAATGAAAGGATTAATTGAATTCAAGTTTTCCGTACATTATATTCATATTTTACTGATTGAGACTCTATTGAGACAAATATCTATGAATTGCCCGAAACTAAAGAGATTATGGCTTAATGTGGCCATAATTACAGATCAAAATAATCAGCAATTAATTAATATAATTAATGATAACTTTAAAAGTTTAAAACAATTGGAAATTATCGGTCCTTTTGTCCCAAACTGTGTCCTAACAGACGGTTCACTCAATGAATGCAAACAATTAACGCATTTCTCAATCAATTCATTGACAAATGAAATGTTCTTCACATCCGTTGCCAACAATTGGTCTAAACTTCAATATTTGGACATAAAATGTGTGGAAATAACAGATAATGTGTTGAATTGTTTGTCAAAGTTATCAAAATTACAGACAATTAAACTTCAGGGAAGTAAACACTGGACACCATCTGCTCTCCAGAATCTCATCAATAATTGTAATAAAATTATACACATTTTTATAAATGGGAAAAATGTTAAAACTATGTAATAAAAATTAGTCAAATTGATTTAAAAATTTGTACTTGGAACTATTTATTTCATTGAAAATATTTGTTTCTAGGTAAAAGGTATTTTGATTATGTGCAAAGATGCAAAGTTTTCTGTATTTATACTAAATTGACCACTATAGCTTATTATAATAAAAATAAATGATTGAATTTATTTAGTGTCCTCTTATACAGGAGGTGTGGGTTATCTATGGGTAGATTTTCAATCTAAAATGTTGGCGAGTTATACGTTAGTTCGGGTAATGCACGAGATTTAAGGATAGTTAAAATTATTGCTATTTATTAAAAATGTAAATTATATAAAATGAGCAATTGTTGTTAATATTTATTTTGAAAGGTTATTCTGTGTTAATATAATGATTAGCATTGGGTCCGTTTCCGTACCTAGGGCAGATTGACGACCAGTAATGATTGCCCTTCAATGTGTATATCATTTGGTGCACAAACTCTGTCAGCTCAGGTATGCCGTACTCTACAAGTTGTGAGCCGTAGTTAATACACGCATACCATTGATAGTGCACTTCGGCCACCATCTGGTCGATGGCCTGTTGACAGTGCCATCCCTGGTGTGCCATTAGTAGATATAGGTAATTACAATAGCCCTCAGTCATCACCTCCGACCTGACGGAGTAAATCTCGTTAATCAGTGTTTCGTGTTTTGCTATCGATATGTTAAATGCGCGCCAAAGGGGGTCAGCGGTCAGCCCGTACTTCAATACATCCAAATTACTGCACCGCTCTATGAATATGTGAATCAAATCACTGCCACAACCCTTTTCCCTATAACGGGCCAAACAATTCATTTATATTGATATTATCATTATATTATATAACAATATATAATTTATATAAAAATTTATATATACTTTATATTATATACTTTATACGTTATCCTCTCTCTCTCTCTCTCTCTCTCTCTCTCGCTCTCTCTCTCTCTCTCTCTCTCTCTCG